TTTGTTAAGATTTTATTTATTTAGAGAGAGGAAGGCAGGGAGAAAGAGAGGGAAAGAAACATCAATTGGATGCCTCTAGCACACGTCCCACCTGGGGACCAGGCCCACAGCTCAGGCATGTGCCCTGACCGGGAATTGAACTGGTGATTTTTTGCTTTCCAGGATGACGCACAACCAACTGAGCCACATTGGCCAGGGCAGAGCTAGCTTCGACTTTGAGAGACAAAGTCTGGAGTTTTTAGGGTTGAACATGAACTCACGTTGAAAGATACAAAAGCCCCTCCAGGAATGCTTGCTGGGGCCATAGGTAGCTGTGAAAACATGGCAAGATAAAAACCAATCCAGAAGAGTATTAAATGGAAAAACTGCTGTTCACCATGTATTGCCACAGCTCAAGATGGGGACTTCCTTTCTTTAAACAAGCCCCAGACCTTATAACATGAATGACTGGGCATGATTTGCTGAAGTTAAAACATATAAATGGAATATTGTGTCAGTATTAATTCATGTCATCTACAGTTGACACAAAGACGAGCCAAGCGCTTTTTCTACAGAGCAGTTTGTTAAATACAAATGTCTTAAATATGTGACTTCCTTTGATTCAGTAATTCCTTTTGTAGGAATTAGGCCCAAGTAAATGGTTGGACAAGTACACAATGATATTACCACAGAGATGTTCATCCCAGCTCAACATTGTTTATCATAGTGAAGAATGGAAACCAACCTAAATACTAAGCATCTATAAAAACAATAATGTAGTCCTGGCTGGTATGGCTCAGTGGATTGAACGCCAGCCTGCGAACCAAAAGTTTGTGAATTCAATTCCCAGTCAAGGCACATGCCTGGGTTGCTGGCCAGCTCCCCAGTTGGGGGTGTGCAAGAGGCAATTGATTGATGTATCTTTTGCACATTGATGTTTTTATTCTCTTCCTCCCTTCCCCTCTCTCCACAAGTAAATAAAGAAAAACTTTAAAAAAAATAATGTAGATGTGTATTTATTGTCATAGAAAGATGTACAGAACATATAAAGTGAAAAAAAAAGGTTTCCAAACAAAGTTACAGTATGATCCTAGTTTTGTAAATATATGAGGGGAAACCCCCCCAAAAAATGGAATTTATTTACAAAAAACTTGTGTATTTATTATTACATGTTTAAGCTTCAGTCACCTCCAATGTACTCTCCATTTGATTCAATACACCTATTGAGACTTTTTTCCACTGCTCAAAACAGTTTTTGACCTCACCCATTTTGATGCCTTTTAGTGCTTCTGCCTTTGTTTGTTTCACCTCTTCCACATCAGTAAAACGTTCCCCTCTGAGGACTTTTTTCATCTGGGATAACAAAAAAAACAGTTGCTAGGGGTGAGATCGGGTGAATAGGGAGTGTGGGGCACAGGGGCGGGGGGTCATGCGGTTTTTGGTCAAAACCTGCTGAACACTCTTAAGTGATGTGGGCAGGTGCGCTCATAAATCGCCCATCATGAAATGGGCAAAGCGTTAAAAGTCTTCAAAAAAAAAAGTCACTGAAGTTGAACACAGCCTCTCACAACAATGTCAACTGGCACACTGATAAAGGTGGGTTTCTGGGAAACTCATTTAGCGAAGGAAGCCTGTACTACAAGGGACCGGCCCTCCAGAAGATAATTCCAGGTTTTTTTGGGTCCCCCCCCCTCATATATTTATTAATATGTATAGGCATATGAGAAAAATCTAGAATGAGAAAAACCAAAGTGGGGTTATATCATGGTAGTGATATTAGATGTAAATTTTTCTAATCCATTTGTGTCTTTTCTTTTTCTGTGAGAATATGTGTTGGTTATATAATAAACAAGTGAATACTTGTATACATGTTATCCTCTCAAAGGTTGTTGAATAACTCAGGGAAGAGCTGATCAGAGACTAAACCCAGGGCAGGGGCAATAGGGTAGAGGGTATAGAGAGAAGGGGACCAATTTTTCTGATTGATAGGAAGGACCTGGAAACCACTTGGATATATCTTCTGGAGAGCAAGCGGGGACGAGGAGACCAGTTTTAACTAAGACAGTAGGGCTGCTCAGCCTGATGAGCAGGAGGAAGTGTTGTGGAGTGGGAAGGGGTATTATCCCCTCCCTTGGCTTGAAAGACTCTGTTTATCCTCTTACAATACTTCAGCATCAATGCGTTCACACTTACTTTTGGTTGTCTCTGTCTCCCCAGAGGACTGTAACCCTGAGTGATTCACTCTGGATCCTCAGCAACTAACGTGCAAGGGCCGTCACTAGATTTGAGCTGGTGGCACTATCACACCCCTCAGCTCATATAATAGCAATGACTAGCATTCTGGGTAAGCTCATCTCATCTGCCAGGCACAGTACCAAAATCTTTTTGTGTATTAGACTATGTAGTCTTCATCATGACCCTATTATGTAGAATTTATTAATAGTGCAATTTAACATATTAAGAAACTAAGTCACAGAGAGGTTAAAGTAAAATGCCCATGGTCACACAGCCAGTAAGATGACAGAGCTCTTAATGTTGCTATAACCAGATGAAGTTTGCACAACTCCTGTGAGTTCAGTGTGGCAGAAGTTTCCAATCCCATTTGATAAATGAGGAAAGTAGGGCCCAGAAAGGTGACTTTTCCCCAAGGCTACATGAAGGGAACGATACTAGAAATGAGGTTGAAGTAAGGGTAAGATATATACATGACAGCATGGATAAATTTTTTTAAATCCTCACCCAAGGATATTTTTATTGATTTTAGAGAGAGAGGGGAAGGGGGAGAGAGAGAAAGAGAAGCATCGATGTGAGAGAGAAACATCAATTGGTTGTCCCCCATACATGCCCCAGTTGAACCCACAACCTAGCTGTGTGCCCTGACTGGGGACTGAACCGACAACTTTTGGGTGTACAGGACAGCATTCCAACCAACTGAAAAAACTGGCCAGGGCAACGTGGGTAAGTCTTAGAAAATAGTGCTAATGAAAAAATGAACAGAAATATATATATTCATAGGTATATATTCATATACATATAAAATGATTTGTATAAACATGTACTGTATACTATACACTTTTCAAAATTCATATACAAACTGAAAAAAAAATTACACATTAAGTTCATTAGAGTGAAGAGGGGAAAGGAGTGAGCTATGAGGCCGTATTAATCTGCTCAGGCTGCCATAACATAATACTACAGATTGAATCTCAAACAGACATTTATTTTTCATGCTTTTGGAGATTGGAAGTCCAAATTCAAGGGGGCCAGCAGGGTTGGTGTTGGTGAGGACTCTCTTCTTAGGTTGCAAACAGCTGTTCTCACTATGTCCTCACGTGGCCGTTCCTCTCTGCAGAGGGAGATTTCTGGTATCTCTTTTTCTTATGACTCCAGACTTATTGGATCAGGACCCCACTCTTATGGCCTCATATCACCTTAATCGCCTCCTTAAAGGCCCTATCTCTAAATACGGTCACATTCGGAATTAGGGTTTCAACACATAAATTTGGGGGAAACTCAAGTCAGTCCATTACATGGGCTAAAAGGGAAATAATAAATCCACAAGAAGTGGAGAAAGAAAGTAGGATGGGAGTAGTAGGCATGATCCAGATCAAGCAGGCCCTTCTAAGCTGTAGTAAGGAGACGAGCTTTAAAGGCTCAGAGTGGTCACTAAGTTCACAAACGCTAAGGCCAATTTGTATGTAACTATTGACTCCAAAGTTGATGTCATCCGAAACTATTCTGAGTCCTGATAACAAAGTGGAATGTGTGTATTTCATTTTACCATTAGGAAAGTGGAGGTCAGAGAGGCCAAGTGCCTTGCCCAAGATCACATAGTAGGTGGAAGTTCTTTCCGACTTCAAAGCAAGGCTCCTTTTACATGTTCTACAGCCTCCCAGCCTTTGGCCCTAACTTCATTTATTAATTCTTTTATGCGTGCATTCATCTAGTATACTATTTATTGGCACCTTCTTTGTGCTACACTCTGTGTAAGACTCTGGGGATATAGAAATTAGGAAAACATGGTCCCTGTGCTTAGAAAGCTCAGTCATGAATAGAATAGACATCCAGGTAAGCAAATGTGGTCATTGGAGGGGCATGTTAAAGGTGCTGGGAAGTCCAAAGGATAGAAAATGATTTTGGCTGGGGTAGTTGGGGAAGATTTCAGAGGCCAAAGAGTCCTTTGAATCAAAACCTTGAAGGATGAAGAGTTCATCTGGTGCAAAAGAAGGAAAAGCTCAATATGGGCAGAGTCAAGGATGTGGGCACTTGCTAAGGGTGAGTGAGTAATGGGGTAATGGGGCTGGATGGGGAAGGCTTGGGCTACCAGGTCAGAAGCTGGACTTGATTCAGAGGTCACTGGGGGACCCCAGAAGGGTTTCAAGCAGGGGAACACCTTAGCCAGGATTCTAAGGAAGTTCTCTTTGGCTGTGTTGTCCAAAGACTTGATGTCTTTTAAAGAATCCATTGCACTAAGCCCTGGCTGGTGTGGCTCAGTGGGCTGAGCACTAGCCTGTGAACCAAAGAGTCGTCAGAATCAGTTCGATCCCCAGTCAGGGCACATGCCTGGGTTGCAGGCCCGGTCCCTAGTGAGGGGCACATGAGAGGCAACCACACATCGATGTTTTTCTCCCTCTCTTTCTCCCTTCCTTTCCCCTCTCTCTAAAAATAAATAAATAAAATCTTTTAAAAAAATCCATTGTGTGAGTTGGCAAGAAAAACTGATGGCCCCTCGCACCTCCAATCCCATTTTTGGCTTTTGATCCACTCAGACCTAGGATTTTTTTTTTTTTAACCATCCCTGTCAAAGCCTCTCACAGCTAGAGAGACCATCCTCCTTCCTTCCTCTCTGCCATCACCCCACCTCCCACCAGAGTGACAATTGGACTTGGGAGAAATGTATGCAAGGAGCAGAAGGGTTGAAGAATACTAGAGGGATAACAGGCAAAGGGATCCAGATGGTGAGGACCCCAGGTGTTCTTGGTCTTAGCTTTCCTCAGGCAAGTTAAAGCATCTCAGCTTCCTACATTGTCCGCCCCCTTGTTTGCTGCACTCAACTTCCTGCCCCACCAGAGGAAGTGGGGAGAGACAGCAGGTGCGGCAACAGCTAGCGGGGCCATGGTAAGTCCTTCTGCCTAAGAATCTAGGCATCTCTACCCCAAGTCCCCAAGCCTCAGGGTAGCCAGGCCTAGGTCAACCCATAGTAATCTGACTTCTCCTAGTCCCTGAGATCAGGTTATACTGATGGCCCCATCTGCCATGCCCAGCAACCTTATATTGTTTACCCTCCACCAACAGGATAAGGAGTACGTGGGTTTTGCAGCCCTCCCCAACCAGCTGCACCGCAAGTCCATCAAGAAGGGGTTTGACTTCACACTCATGGTGGCAGGTCTGAGTGTTCTGGAGAGGGGACTGGTGGTGAGTCCTCAAAAGACCCTGGCTGTCCCCTCACTTGACTAATTGGGCCTGGTCTGTCCACAGGGGAGTCAGGTCTGGGGAAATCCACGCTCATCAACAGTCTGTTTCTCACCAACCTCTATGAGGATCGGCAACTGCCAGAGGCCGGTGGTAAGACCCATCTCCTCCTCTCCAAGTACTCTCTTCCCTTCCTAGATCTTCAGGCTACACTCTGTTCCTTTCCATCTGGGTCTCCAATGACTTTCTGGGGGACTCAGGCAGCTTACCGTTCTTCTCTGAGAAGGTTTCCTCCCCTGAAAAAAATAGGTGGGGACAACTGTGATACTGAGAAAGGAATTTAGTCCTGCCTCAGACCCTAACCCAGTTTCCCAATCTCTCCGCATCTCCATAGCTCGCTTGACACAAACGCTGACTATTGAGCGTCGGGGTGTGGAGATCGAAGAGGGGGGTATTAAGGTGAAGCTGACTCTGGTGGACACGCCTGGCTTTGGGGACTCAGTGGATTGCTCAGACTGGTGAGGAGTGGGGGAGGGAATGAGGGATAGGCTCCCAAAATGGCTACTCTGTGGAGACTGAGGGGTCAGTTACAGGGCGGATGTACAATGGCCTCCCACCCACCCTGACCCAAATGTGGGGGGTCTGTTTCTGATGGCCCTGTGGCCCAGAGTGCCCTGTGCTTTCCGACATCTCACTTATGATCCTGCCAGTTTCCTAATTTCTTTGGTTGGAGACAAAGGAACTACTTCCCACCCCCACAGTCCTGGCTAGCCTTGCCTCCTTCCCCATCACGTGGCCTCTGATCTCTGACCACAAGCTCTCTCCTCTCTCTCACCCCAGCTGGCTGCCTGTGGTACAATTCATTGAGGAACAATTCGAGCAGTATCTTAGGGATGAGAGTGGCCTGAACCGGAAGAACATCCAGGATTCCCGTGTCCACTGCTGCCTCTACTTCATCTCACCCTTTGGCCGGGGGTCTGAGGGACACCCTGGGGGTTGGGGCATTTGGGGAGGGTTTGGGGGGTGTCTTTGTACCTTGAGACCAAACGCTGACCAATCCCTGGGTGCAGGCTCCGGCCTCTAGATGTGGCCTTTCTCCGGGCGGTGCACGAGAAGGTCAATATCATCCCAGTCATTGGCAAAGCAGATGCCCTGATGCCTAGGGAAACCCAGGCCCTCAAGCAGAAGGTTTGTGGTGACTCCTGATCTTTGACCCTACATGAAGCCAAAAGTGATGAGTAAACCTAAACTCAGCTTTGACTCCTTTGATCTTTGGGTGGACTTCTTGGAGCATGATGTGTAATGCTACATTATTAAAGAAAGTTTATTTTTCCCCAAAGTAATTTATTTAATTGAACTTATTGGGGTGACATTATTAAAATTATGTAGGTTTCAGGTATGCAAGTCTATAGGACATCATCTGTATATTGCGTTGTGTGTTTACCACCTCAAATCAAATCTCTTTCCACTACCCTTTAATCCCACCTTTACCTTCTCCTATCGCCTCCCATGCCCTAGAGAAAGTTTCTGAGGAATGTGGGTAGTAAGCTGCCTGAGGGAGCTCTCTGGAGGCTCAAAATAGAATCCCTGGGCCCGATGCTTAGCTAAGGCCTATCGGAGGGTAGGGGCATAGAATGATGACAGTGTCTTCAGAGTCCTCTCCTGCTGTTTCTGCTTATGCCTCTGTCTCCTCATATTTTGGTATCCACCTCATCTTAGAATCTTTCCAGGCCTCTGCCTTGGCTGTGAGGGTATCTTTGTTTCACTTTTTTACCATCTGTCTGTCTCATTATCACTAAGATCTTGTTTTTGGTCATCCTGCACGTTCATTTCTCACCATCTGTCTTTCATGTCTTCCTGTCTCTGACTACCCGGTAGATGTATATGAACCTGTCTCTGGCCATGCAATGTCTGTTGCTCAGCCTCTGCGATACTGTCTTTATACCTTGCTTTCTCCTAGATCCGGGACCAGCTGAAGGAGGAGGAGATCAACATCTACCAGTTCCCTGATTGTGATTCTGATGAGGATGAAGACTTCAAGAGGCAGGATGCAGAGATGAAGGTGCAGAGGCAAGGGAGGAAGGGGCAGAGAAGCAGGGGAGGAGGGTGTGGAGGTGGAAGCTGAGAAAGAGGTTTCTGCCCTGGAGGTGATCCCTGACTACTGCCCTCTAGGAAAGCATCCCTTTCGCAGTTGTTGGTTCATGTGAGGTAGTGAGGGACAGCGGGACCCGACCAGTGAGGGGACGCCAGTACCCTTGGGGTACCGTGGAAGGTGAGTAAGGCTGGGCTCGCGTTCTGAGGCCAGCAGGGAAACGAGGCCACCTCCAAGTCAGCTGCACCTAACGTGTGATAATGGGGCAAGCTCTCATCTTGGAGGCTCTTGGAGCCAAAGGAGAGGTCCTTGAGCAGCAGGGCGCGGACCCTCCCCTAGAGCGGGGGCAGGACTGCGGGAAGACGCGACCCAGCTCCCTGAGGCACGCGCGGTCCGTCCCCCAGTGGAGAATCCACATCACTGCGATTTCCTGAACCTACGACGGATGCTGGTGCAGACACACCTGCAGGACCTGAAGGAAGTGACACACGATCTGCTTTACGAGGGCTACCGGGCCCGCTGCCTACAGAGCCTGGCCCGACCTGGGTCGCGCGATCGAGCCGGCCGTAGGTGAGGGCGGAGTTGACTCCTAGGTGCTTCCAAAGTCTCGCCCTCACGACATCCTGACCTTACCTTCGCCCTCCAGACCGCTCCCCCTGTCTTTCACCACCCGCCTTGTTTTCAGCCCTAACCTCAAGAACGAGGGCACTCCTCCTAGAGTCCAGCCTCGTAGCAGGCCGTGACTTGTGGTCGTGACCCACACAACCACAGGTCCCGCCCTTGATTCTTGTTTCTTTTCCCCACCCCCTAGTAAGCTTTCACGCCGAAGCGCCACAGAGATCCCGCTGCCCATGCTGCCTCTGGCTGAGACAGAGAAGTTAATCCGCGAGAAAGACGAAGAGGTGAGCAAACACCTCGCACCCCACTGCCCCCTCCCTTCGAAAAAGTCCCTCTCTGGCCTCGCCCAGCTCCACCCCCTGCAATCTTGCTCCGCACAGCTGCGTCGCATGCAAGAGATGCTGGAGAAGATGCAGGCCCAGATGCAGCAGAGCCACGCTCAGGGCGAGCAGCCGGACGCTCTCTGAGGCCCCCGCCGGGGTATAGTTTTACCTTGGCTCCGCCTTAGGTCCATGTCTTGTCCAATCCCCGAGGCCCTGGTTGCCCTGGCGCCTAATCCCAAAGCCTGCTGTTGCATAGGGTTCTTCGGCTAAGAGGTTCTCCCAATCCCAGAGTTAATAGCCCCGCCTTTGGCCCCGCCTCCGCTCCCCCTGCCCTCCCCTTCGGAAGCCCGGAGCTTCCAGCCCAGCCCCTGACCACCTGACCACCCCGTCCCAGGCCCTCTACGCTGGAACCGTGTCTTCTATAAAAACTGTTTCCTGAGGCAAGCGTCTTCTTTTTTCTCCGAGTGGGAATAAGCGGCGGGTATTGCGGCATGCAGCCTTCCCATTCGGGCCTTCATTCATTTGTTGGGCACTCGCTTTGTATCAACAGTGTTTCATCCCACCCTCCCACCTGAGTCCCCTCAGAATAACACACTGAAGGCGCCGGGGATAAGAAACAAAGACCAGTTAAATTTTATTAGGACTTGGGGTGGGGGTCGGACTGGCAGCAAGGCGATGACTAGCAGAGGCCTAAAAGGGTCCTCTACTCCTGGTCCTTGGCGTCGCCATGCGTGATGACGTAGCAGATATTCTTATAGTCTACGTTGCCACCCACGTCGGGAGGGAAGGCTGCCCACATGTTCTTAATCTGGGGGAAGATCGCCAGACTGGGTCTCCTACCGGTTCCTTAGTCTCCCCTCCCCCATCCTCCCCTGCTCCCGGACCCCTCCCCCACTCACCTCTTCCTGGGAGAAGCGATCACACTGGGTGGTAAGTAGCTCCTCCAGACTGGAGAGAGGTGAGAATGGGAGGAGTTGAGATTAGGCCTTGTAAACTCTTTCAACTCCCACCTCATTCTTGTTGCTATTCCCAGTTTTGCCTTGAAAACCAGGGTCTTTCTAGATCCCTCCAGTGATCTTCCGAATATTCAAGCACAAAAAAGACTTCCTGGCTTTTGCCCTTCTACCCATATGTGCTGTGAAAATTTAATCCTAATCCACAGTCCTCATTTCTCCCTTATCCCTGGCAGTGCTAACCCTTGGTAGCAAGTTAAGAAGTCTTTCTGTGGGTGAGCAGCTGGAGGGGATCACTTACAACTGCTTCTTAATAGTTCCCTTCCCCTCAGGGTCCAGGACTTTGAAGGCTCCAGTGATCACATCCTCAGGGTCAGCACCTGGGGTCAGAGGGCACATGGAACTGAAGGATCCCTGAAAGGTCTGCCCCTAAAAGGTCCAGGAACGGGCAGCTGGGCGCTCGGACCCAGGACACTTCATTCACCTTTGAGCTTCTCCCCAAACATGGTGAGGAAGACAGTGAAGTTGATGGGACCGCTGGCTTCCTTCATCATGTCATCCAACTCCTCATTCTTCACATTGAGGCGCCCTGGAGTGGGGTGGGGGAAGGATGGGCTAGAGTGGGGTCCTGGGACCAGACGGTAATGCTTCTCATAAATTCAGGTCGTCACACCCATTTTTCATGTGGGTAAACTGAGGCCCAGGGTGGAGCCAGCAGGGCTGGCTCCCAAAGCTGTGGAATTCTCTGGACTCTACAGCCTTGGATATTTACAGGTAGGGTGGGATTTACCCATGGCTGCAAAGGTGTCCCGTAGGTCTTCCTTGTCGATGATGCCATCACGGTTCTGGTCAATTACTGTGAAGGCCTGTGGAGGGCAGGAGGAGTTAGGTTCCCCATGGCCAGGCTTTAGCATCCTTACTCCTGGCAGATCATTCTGGCCCCCAGCCAGCTGTCCTCTTACATGCCAAGAAGGGAGGGGAGTAAGGAATTCTAAACCCTCTTCCTCCCACTAAAACAGGTGCACATTCTGGGCCATGGGTGTGGGGGGGAAGGGCAGCAGGGGTGTGCCTTTGGTCAGCCTTCAGTCTCCCTTCTTCCTTCACTCACCTCCTTGAACTCCTGGATCTGAGTCTGGTCAAACATTGAGAAGACATTGGAGCTTCCACCCTCTGCTGCCCTTCTCTTGGCCTTCTTGGGTGCCTGGGGGGTGAGGGTTGGGCAAAGAGACTCATGGGCCAGATCCTACTATTCTCTGGAGGCAATGGATTAGATTTAGGGTTCTTTAAGTCTATTCTTGAAAGCAACTCATCTGGCTCTAGGCTTCCCTCTCTTTATGGCTTCTTTGCTGAGGGTGTTTGCTTGGGTTACATCCCCGAATTCCTATCTTTAGCCCCTGAGTCCCACCCCTCCATCCTACCCAGTAAGTAGAAGGTTCCTCCTCTTAGTTCCCTGAGCCTGCTTCCCCCTAAGTCCCAGACTTCCTGTATGACCCTGATTCACTCATTCATTCTATGTGAAACTACTTTCTCATCTATAAAATGGGAGTGGGAACTTTTGCCTGCCTGATGCCAAAGGATTTCAGGAAGATGGAGTGCAGGAAGGTATGGAGCATGCTTTGAGAGGGACTGGGCTCCTGTGAGTGGAGTGTCCGAGTGAATTATCCTTGGTTGGGTCCTTTGGGCCAACGTTCTGTATACTCCCTATTAGTGATACTGAGAGAGAGAGGGTTCATCTTTTTTCACCTCAGTGGACTGGGAACTAGCTACCCTCTTTCAAAGGGCGAGGCTGCCCTGAAGTCTGAGGGATCTGGGCAAGGGCTGGGGGATTCTTACCATGTCTTCAGTCTCCTCGGGGAAAGGCTTGAAAGTAGCAGAGAGTCAGCCTGTGCAGTCCCTCTGGGGTTATATAGTCCTGCCCCCAGGAGCCCTTAACATACCAAGGTAACCTTAGCCCTGTGGGTGCCCACCCCAGATACCAAAATAGCCTGGCTCAGGACCTTTCCTTTCTTGGAGGGCCTGCAGCAGCTGGAGTCCAGGGAGAGAGGGAGGAGGGAGTGAGTCTTGGGATGCATGTCTCACTGGGATCTGGGCAGGAAGGGATGAACTTTGTCTCAAAAGGAGGCTGAAATGTTTCAGAGTTCAGAGAGGGGCCAAGCTAGGGCACAGTGCTCAGAGAGTTGAACCAAGCCCCTCTACCCTGAATGGGGTGGGGAAACCCAGTAAATTTATTGAGCACCTATAATGTGTCAGGTGCCGTGCTATGCTAATGGGTGCACTTTAGCAAACACAACCTTCCTCCCATTTGGATTTCACAGTCAAGTGTGGGTATGTGTAGGGGTAGTGCCAGAGTTTAAAGGTGGGAGAGAGCCATCTGGGGAACCTGAAAGATCAGGAAAGTCATCCCATCCCCTTCAAAGAGAGGGAGGATTTTGTGAGGAAAGATGCAGAGCATGGATTCACTAAGTATGAAGAGACCAGACAGCTTAGGGCAGAGAACTACTGTCATCTTGGGCTTTGCGCTTCAACTTCCTGGGCCTTGTTTCCCCTTCTATAAAATGAGATGTAAGTCTCATCTCACAGAACTTGTGGATATGAACACTACTTGGAAATAGTTTAGTGAAATATAATAATAATTATTACTTAGGCCCTGTCTTGGTAGATCTCACAGTTCAGTCATGGAGACAGGATAAATAAAGAAAATTACATAAAAGTAGAGGGCACAGCAGCCCTGTCAAGCAGCATGGGAATGACTTATAAAGACCAACAGAAGTGAGTCAGGTGAATGTGGAGGAGCAGGTGTGCTAAGCAGAAGGCATGGATGAGCAAAAGCCTAGAGAAACGAAATATCAGAAGTGTTCAGGCTGCCAGCATTGTGATGGGGTATGAGCAGAAGATGCAAGGGGCTTAAACTGCTTTAACACTGGAGGGCCTTTGATGCCAGGCTGAGAGCTGAGACCTTGGAAGCCTCGGATAGGTTTGAAACAGGAGGAGAACATGGTCTAGTGTGAGTCTATAATCATTTCTTTGGATACTGGTGTGAAAGTTAGAACTCAGAGGGAGTCAGAGACACCAAGAAGGAAACTAGTCAGTCACCTCCTCTTGGTTGACTGAAATGGTGAGTGGCTTCTCTCTCCATTCTGGGCAAGAACCAGCTTGGCCGACTGTGTGACTTTGAGGTACTTTCTCCCACCCCGCTAGGCCTCAGTGCCCCAGTCCTATCCATATGGTAGAGGTCAGGGGCAATGGTGGCTGAGGAAGCTCTGAGGCCCAAGGTTGGCAGTGACACCTCCTCTTGCTCTCTCTAGGACCTTATGTCCTGAGCAAGGTGCCTCCTCCCCTCTCTCTCCTCCAGCCTCATGCCAATGCCTCTAAGACATTTTCTTTTCTGGGCACTGGGGCCCAGCCACCTGTTGTCTCTAAGAAGAGCGAAGGAACCACCCTAAACTTAGCAGCTGCCCTTGGCCTCCTGAACTGGCCCCTCCCTGCCTTGTTTGACAGCTGTCTCACCTTATAAGGTTACTATGGGGGTCCAGGCCCAGGGAAGAGCCCACTTATTACTGGGTTCTGGGAGAAGAGGAGAACTCCAAAGACAGAAATGGGGGAACTGTTCAGAGAGCCTGAGTCAACTGGAAAGGGGGGGGTGGACTTGAGAAAGAGATCAGGAATGGTATATCTCAGACACGGAACGGGAGTTCACAGAGTCTGGGTCTGAGGAGCTTCAGAGAACTCAGACACCAAGAAGGAACTGGGGAGTTAGGCCTGACTGAAATTTCAAGATGGTGGACTCTTTATGGAAATTGGCATCCTCTAACCTTGGGGCTCAGGGTAAGGGAGTCAGAGAGAGAAGGGTCTCAGAAAGTCAGGACTTTGTGTTTGTGGTCTAGGATAGGCTGTGCACTCATAAGATTGGGGTCTGGTTTCTTAGCAGAAAATGGGGAACATGGAGAAGTGTGGCAATGAGGGGATAGGAGTTGATTGAAGGGTCTTGATCTCTAAAAGAATAAGAACACAGATACGGGATTTCAAGGTATTGGGAATTCATGGTTTGGCGTCTGGGATCCCCACTAGAATGGGACACACTCAAAGGATGAGGTATGAGTAGCTAGAGCCTGGATTCTGGGAAGAAGCTCACATAGAGGGGTTTGGGACTTGGAATCCCTGCAGGAAAAGGCGGATTCGGAGAGATGGGTC